TTTACACAGGGAATACTACTTAGCTATTAAAAACAAGGACATTATGAAATTAGCAGGCAAATGGATGCAATTAGGAAAGAATACCCCTGAATGAAGCAATCCATAACCAGAAAGACACTACTTTATAGGCAGATATTAGCCATATAATATCGGATGACCATAATAAAATCCACAGACCTAAAGAAGCTACATAACAAGGAGGACCCTAGGAAAGATGCTTAATTCTCATTCAGAAGGAAGCAGGATAGACACAAGAAGCAGTAGAAAAGAGGGAACAGGAGAGAAGACTACCACAGATGTCCTCTGAAAGACTCCACCCAGCATGGGATTGAAGCAGATGCTGAGATTCACAGCCAAACGTTGGGCACAGTGCAGGCAGTCTCATGGAAGAAGGGGGGATGGGGGACAGGAGCTCCACAAGGAGATAAACAAAGCCAAAAAATCTGGGCCCAGAGGGTCCTGCAAAGACTGGTGCACTAACCATGTATGGAGAAGACCCAGCGCCCCTGCTCAGATGTAGCCCATAGGTACCTCAGTCTCCATGTGGATGGCCTACTAAGGTGAGCAGTGGCTGTCTATAACCTGAATTATCTATCATTTGCCTGCTCTTTAATTGCTGCCCCGTGGCAGGTTAGCCTTAGCAGGTTACAGAGGAAGTGGACCCAGGCAGTCTTGCTGAGACTTGAGAGGTTAGGGTCAGATAAAAGGGTAGGAGACGCCCTCTATCAGTGGACTAAGGGAGAGGGATAGGGGACAGAAGATGGAGAGAGTGTAGGACTGAGAGAAGAAGTGGGAAGGAGCTACAATCTGGATAAAAAGTGAATAAATTGTAAAAAATAAAAATAAATAAAATTTTTAAAATTACTTGTCAAAAAAAACACAAAAACAAACAAACAACAAAGAACAACCAAACCAAAAAGTCTAGTTATCTCATAGATATTAATTCTCTTGACAATAATTCAGGAAATTATAAAGCATGTGTTTCACCTGCAAATTTATATCAAACTTAAATTTCGTGAAAACTCTTTTTAAAACCTCCATAAAAGCTGAAGTACTATTGCTCGTTTCAACGGCCCACTGTTTAACAAGATACTTGTTTCTTTTGGCGATCCAGTCTATCTGAATAGCTACAGTTGGTATACCCAAATCAGAAGACATTAATGTGCACAGAGGCGTGTAAGAAATCAACCATCGTGCCTTGTAATTTGGAGGTTTGCAACTTTAGGGCTTGTCATTTGCACAAAATTACTCATTCTTGTATGATTCTTCCTCCAGTAATCTAGAAGGTTGACTTGCTCATATTTGATCCATTTTCAAGAAGGACTTTGAAAGAGACTTAACTGGGAGGGACAGTATTTCCCACTGGTGTTTAATAGGGATTAGAAGCTCAGATCAGCCACCTGCCAACTGATGATCTTTCTAGAATGAGGTGGAAGAAACAGAGAGAGCATCTGTGCAGGGCAAAGTTCAGGCGTGAGCGCTGATGTTCCTGGAAAGTCAGGAAAATAGCCTGAAGACAAGGACCACTAATGATGTGTTAGCACAGGGAGGGCTTGACACTGGGAATGAACTTCCTCTCGTTCATAGCCTGCATCCAGCTGTTGAAATCATGGGACTTGGCCAGACCTAGGATAAAGTGAGGGTGCACTGAGTTTGTATATATCCAGAAACATATCTATAGATTAGAGAAACATATAAAAATTAATGTTAAAAAAAATGCTACAATATCCGTTAACTCTGTCACTGCGCTTAAGCAAGAAAGTAGCTGCCTTTAGTTCATTTGATTGATGATATGTTGATATGTATTATCAAGTGAAACACCTTTAATCTTAATAACTATGGAAACACAGATGAATAGCTTAATACAAAATCAAAGAAAATTGAAAAAGAAACATTTTAACAGAATTGCTATCAACAATCAAGTAGTTATATGAACTTCATGACAGATAATTGTCTATATTAAATTATGTAACATAATTAAATTTATTATATTATATGTATGGTAATAAAAACATATCCATACATACATGTTTGGAAATATGAAAATAATTTGTTTTCCTCTACTTTAATATTTCTAACAAAGAAGAGTCAGACATAATTTTAGAAGGACATAGTCATTTTATGTCGCGTCTGTAGCCCTTTGGCAACATGTATAAATTTTTATTTAAAAAGTCTAATTTTCATCCTTAAAATATTGATTGTGAAAACATCTCAAAAGCCTAGCAGTGATTGGTTTTTAAAACTGCAAATCCAGACTGTAACTCTTTAAAAAGTAAAATAAACTATCTCTGGTCGGGGTATCATGCCATTCAGCTGCATGCAAGACCTGTCTGCACAAGGGGACTTTCCGGGTCTACTGCAAACGTAAAAAACATTCCCGGCTTGAGGTTGCTTGGGAACCATACATTAACACATTTGAGTTCCTACTGCTTCACCCACAAGCTAAATACCAATCCTCCAAACTGTTTTAAGAATCAGACAGCACAGTCTGGTAAAGACCATGATGATGCCTGACACAGCATCCCTCTACAGCACATTAGTAGGATCTGACGGAGACATCTGTGATCTACCTCTCTTTGGAGAATTAGTCCATAGATGCTCCACATAGAGGAACTGAAAACACATGAATCCTGCTCTTCTGTAGAGTGCTGGCTGCATTTGAGTTGGGTAGGAAATAGTCTATGCTTGGGCCTCAGTAGGAAGGAGGCCTCAAAGAGTCAATGGCATCGGGATTTCAAAGGTAGAAAGGCTTCTTTCTCATCCTGGTGGATTAATAACAAAGTTGTAAGTTATATTTTTTAACTTTTTTCCGCTCTAGTTTTATTTGGGAATTTTTAGTTTCACTGAGAATGTAGAAATACAGATAGTCTAAAGGAGACAATCCATGCTTGGGGACTAGGAAAAAGATGAATTATGGCACATGACATTTTATGTAGAGTTTTTTGAGGTTTCATGGAAATTGTTCTCCAGTCTTCTTCCATAGAGAAAATCCTTGTGACCTGAGACATCAAATACAAACTTAAAAAGATCCTTTGCTGCCACAAATATTTCACATTCTACCACATTGTGCTAGTTGTTTGGTGAATATACTGACTTAGAATAAACTGTTTACCAATACTACAGACACCATCTCTGACCCTTTTATGAAGCTGTGTTCTCAGCTACCCATCTTCAAGACAAAAGGAACTTGCTACTGAAGATTAGGAGTATTCACAATTCTCCTCTGCTCCTGCTGTTATTTTATCTGGCACCACGGTGAGAAATCTCATGAGGTCATTTCTCTTGAGTTACAGTCAAAAGAAACAAATTGAAAACCAGCCATTAAATACTTTGTGCTTGCCTTCTGAGGCAACTCCAAAATGTTAATATTATTCTTTTCTTCTGCTCCAATATAAGTACTGACTTTTTTCTTATTTTTTATTTTTTTATTTTGTGGAGATGATAGGCTGAAAGGAAGGCAGAGAGTGATGGGAACACACCTACATGACTTGCCAACATTAAGGCTAGTTGATCATCTAGAAACAACTTGGAGGTTGAAGTGAAATTGGACAGTATATTACATCTAAGCACCAACATTTAGCAAAATGTGTTTTGTTTAACTTGAGTTGTTGGGTTTTGTTTGTTCCTTTTTTGTTGCTACATTGTTTCATTATTCTGATCCTAATAGTAAAGGCATTTTGTGTGAACTAATAGCTGACCTTAGTTGATGCCATTGGCTTTACCTCAGAACCTAATCAAAGCATTCTCCCGTGTTTACATTTTATTGCTTAAGTATTTTTTCACAACATATTGTAATGCATCCTCCAGAACTAGAAAATGTCTTTCTGGTAACGAGTAACTGATAGTATTATCATAGTTTGAAGAAGACATTTGCATAGTTCATACATACACACACAAATACATACATACATACATACATACATATACATATATACATACATATATAAATATACACATACATACATATATACATACACACACATACATACATACATACATACATACATACATACATACATACATAGCGTCAGACACAATGTAAGGAGGAAACCCACATAGCTATATAACAAGTCTGGCTTATTACAAACTTGCTATAAAAATTTAAACCATTTCTTTTTTATCATCAGTCCAATACTCTCCTAAAATGGAGATCTAGAAAAGAAGTCCTCGGGCTTAACAAAAAGAAAGAGAAGAGTTCACACAGGAGAGAACTGAAGGCACAAAAACTAAATCCAGTTCGTAGACAGATGCAGAATGGGTGATAGCACTTAGAGTACGAAGAATGGAAAATACCACCATCATTATTCTTGCTGGGAATGTCTGTATGCACCATATTGCTAAATTCACTACAAAACAGAATAGCATGTGTTTGATTTTTGGTGATTTGTTGTAAGAATCTGGTGTTACCCAAAAGCCAAGAAATTAAACCCAAGGTACTCAAAAGGCTGATTTTTTTTATAATTTAAGTATATATTTAGTTTTGGAGAGAATTTTGAGCTACAGTAAGGTCAAGATACGGGGGAAGCAAGTTAGCCGCAGTTTTGTGAATTTCATTGCCCCTGGATGGAATACGTGGTTGGCTAGAGTATATCATCTCAGGGGAAAATGATTCTTCACCAGCGTTTTCACTTCTCCTGTTCCTAAGCCTCCTTAAACTATGGAGCAATGACATCCTTTAACACAGAACTCATAGCATTTGGTATCCACAAATGTAGAAGAAAAGTGTCCTCTTTTGTTCAGTATAGCACTTATATCGTCCATATCTTTAAAAAACACGTACATGTAGATGTAACAACCGCAACACAGAGATGCTCCTCATTCCCGTTCCTGTCTACACTGCAAGCCTTGTACTAAGTTGACTAAGTTCTACCGTCGAACAACTTGAGAATTTTGTCTAAGCCATTCAGCTGTGTAAAATTTGTTTGTTTTCTTCTAGGAAAAGAATTTAACTCACTGGAACTAAAGTTTTGACTCATTTTGTTGTTGTTTTCTTTCTTCAGATTTTCTTTTCTGTCTGCATTGCTTTCTGGGGAGTACGAAGCATGAAACAGCTCACCTCTGTCTCCTGGAAAAAGCCCTAGTGCGCCCAGATCTCTTGGTCCTGTCAGCTGTCCGTGGGATATCACAGAGAAAGATCTTAACCTTACAGATGCCTGCAAGAGCTACTTGGTTAATGAAATGAAAGAACTTCTTTACCTATGCTTTTCACATTTCTTCTTTTGTTAAAATTGAAATGAATTATATTATTTTTGCTCTCACTGAAAATCAAATAATTCATTTACATTGTGGCTGTATTGACTTGTCTCCTCTGCGGCAATGACTCTGGGAGAAAATGGGCTAAAATTCTTTAAAAGAATGAAAATTATATTTGTCATGCTTGGTCTGAGAACCTTTTGCCTTAATATTTGTTAAAAGTACGCTTAGAAACATCTCTGTAGTCTTTGAAATGTATTGTTGTCTATGTGAGCCTGCATTTGCCTCTGCAAATTAGTCATCTGTACTGCCATATTATGTTTAAAAAAATCAATGACATAAAAATAACAAGGATTGGACAGAATTTGTTTGTTCATGTTAATTTATATTACATACTTCTAAAATGTTGGGTCAACTTGTTTCAACAGCTGAAGAAGTACAACATAATTCATGCTACTTCAAATTATCATAATAATGTTAATAAAACTTCCTGAGTGGAAATGACAAAGGTGACACGCATACACTGCTTATTAAGACATTAAAAGTCTGTTATATGTTCCATTCGGAGAGATGGAGATAAGAACGGAGCTCACAAAAGGTTTGAAAATTAAGAATTCTTCCTTTACTGCAATTAGGCAATTTCAAGTGACAGTTTTAACCATATAGGTCAAATTAATGACTTCCATTACTCTCTACTTGCATGCATCACTGAATTAAGGAGACTACCTAGTTCCTTAGCCTCCTTTTTTAGGTATGTTACTTAAGACTGGAAGAAAGAAACATCAGGCTGCAGGTGTCTGAGCATTCCCAAGACAGGCCTGAAACATCTTCCCTTCAAGCCGGGACAGCAGAAGAAGGACAAGTGTGAATGACGGAAATATTCATATTTATATCTCAAGCATCAGAACTGGCTTTAGCTTTTATCCAGTCACGTTTTTATATTTTATAATTGAACACAGGATTCAAACAAATTCTGAAGTCCATAGCAAATATTAAACCCTACTTCAGTGCCTAACATTGCTGGCCTTCCCAGGTTAGGTAGAACTACCTTACAGCAGAGAGCCCTCTGCTGGCTGGAAATTATTAATGTGTCTTTAAGATTCTAGAGATGGATGCTATGTGTTCCCAAGGAATGCTAGGCTATGGGTCACATCATTCAATAATGGAAAGAAAACAGCATTTTGATTGAATCTCAAATATTTATTCAGCAAGCTAGAATACTTTTATGATGGGGAAAGAGAGAAAGGAAAGACAGACAGATACACAGAGGGAGAGACACAGAGAGAATGAGTCAGAGAGACAGAGAGAGAGTGAGAGAGCAAGAGAGAATACACATGAATATACATAGGTAGTTTAAAATAAGTTTAATAATGAAAATATTTCATGTGCAACTCAGTTTTCTTTGAACAAATTCAAAAGTGTTGCTTTTCTTTTTCTACATTAAGATTTTTTTTAATCTAACTCACTATGAGTTAGACCATTTTCCTTCTAGAAATAAAGGTATTTTGAAGTCACAAATTCCAAGCCTTTAACTATGGATGTGGTTCATAGATAGATGTGCCTAGGTCTTCTGTGCGTGAGATAGAACTTTTATTCACCGTCACCTTTCTAATTTTCCAGTCTGATTTTGTCTGGCGAGCACTAAGGCATGATGACAGATCAGGCAACTCTTAGGAATACTGTAAATTGATCTTGAGTGATCCATGTAATTTATGCAGGCTTTTGACTGGAAGGACTTTAATTGTCCCTACTTCTCTCCCTACAGAGAATAACACTAAAAGTAGGATTCATCAATTGCCCATTTTTTATGGAGATGTGCACTCTGCCGTTGCAATAATCACAGGGACACTCAGTCCTGTTTATCTACCAAAAGAACCAAAATGGGTTTAAGTGGAAGTTTCTAGTTTCTTTGAAGATTCAGTTTTGTCATGTGATATTTTGCTGAGAGTTCTCACATGCAAGGGGCATGCTTTGTCTAGCTGAGAACATCTGTGATTGAACTCTGAGGAGAGGACATACATAGAGGCTCACACAAAGTGAAACATCACTTTTTGTATCGATATCACTGTGCTGACTCTTTGTGCTTTAACAGCACAGCTGACTTCACAGAAAGAAATGTTCCAGAGAACTTCTCAGGGCAATCCAACTGAGTCTTGTGGCTTTCACTGATTTGTCCCGATCTTCAGAATCCTGTAGCTGCTTGGTGTTGGCCTTCATACTGGATGGTTGGTATCCTGATGGCTGAGTTTTGTAATCACCTAAAGATCCATTGACCTTAATCAGCAAGTAGTAGATAAAAGAGTTCTACAGGCCTTTTCCCTACTAATCTCCTACCTAACATTGGGGGGTTAGAAGGGAGGTAACAACAGTGTTTAAGAACCCTAAATAAAGTAGGTTTGGTGAAAAATCTAAGCCTACAATGAATATTTGTGTATAGAGTAGAACTCTATGAGAGATGTTTAATGAAACCTCTAAATAATTGCAGAATCAGCCGTTGTCAAACCATTTTGCAGAAATCTTAGGGAGGTTAAATTGCCACCCCAAGGCCACCTTGGAACACAGTGGGTGGTCATTTATTTTCTTAATTCTTTTAATTTTAACATCAAAGACTGTGACATTTCTTTATTTTCTGCTGTAAGATATTCAGAACAAAAGTCAAGAATTATAGGCTCATAAGTTCATGTGCAGTGTATGTCATTACTCTTAAACTTAATGCTACCACTTAAAAAAATGGAAAGAGAATTTTTTGTGTAATAGTTATGTGTCCTGGACTTGTAAACATTGTAAGATTGTGTCCTGTTCTATTCCTGTGTTAAATGCCATAACCAAAACCAATTTGGGAAGAAAAGGCTTTATTTCTAGGCAACACTTCTAGGCAACAGTCCATTAGTGTGGGAAGACAAAGTTGGAGCCTAAGGAGAGACGTGGACCACTGCTGTTTACTGGCTTCTTCCTCATGGCTTATTTACCCTGCTTTCTTTTACAACAGAACATAGGCTGCCAATTGGGAGTACTGCCCGAAGTGGACCACACCTTACTACATCAAGTTTCAATCATGAAAATGCCACAGACCTGCCTACAGATAGTCTACTAGAGACATTCTTAACTGAAGCTCTTCTATGCAGATGACCATGGCCTGCATCAAGTTGACACAAAAATAAAACAAGGACAACTGGTAATGTACTAGTTCTAGTGATGTGCTCATCATAGACAAAAGGGAATCCATCGTTTTTCTTTGTCTGTATTTTTTGCTAGGTTTTTCCATTTATTTTTCTGCCATTAGTTAACTTATAATCATATTTGTTGAAGCTCACTTAATCTTCACATGGCCATGAGACTGAACAATGTGATTCTGTAATTGTATTCAGAGGTTCAACTAGCCACTAGCTCTCTTTATATTGGCATTCCTAGATTACATTACTGTTCATTAGTTTTCAAAATATCAGTCTCTTTTAACATACTATTTAACTATTCAGCAAGGAATCTACTAAAATGAAAATGCTGAAAGGCATTCCTGAAAAATCCAGCATGCATTTTGTTTTAAAGTGATCCAATCTACTAAGGAAAACAGTGGGAACCAGAATCCAAGTTCCTTTTCTTTTTTCTATTCCCTATTTCCTCTAACCCCCATATAAGATGAAAGACACAGAACACCTTGTCTTCCAGAATCTTGAAGTATTTTTCATGTCATGGTTATCAGCAACTTGAAGGGAGCAAAGGCTTCACCTAAGCTTGCCTGGGAAGAAAGACTGATGACAGTCTACCTGTGATGAGAGCCTAGTTTTCCAAATCTCATTCTGTTCTCCCTTATTTTCAATCGAATTAGCCTCTTTTCTTACAAAAGAGAAACTCAGAAAAGGTTACTCTCAAAAGAAAATCATTTTCCATTGTGCTAGTAACTAACCACTCTCTAATTTAAGCCCTACTCCAGGAGATGAAACCTATCCCGGGCACTGCTCAGATGGCCAAAACTTGAGCTTACATAGGCAATGGGCCTGGGAGAAGACTAAATACTACTGCTTTGCTGATGGAAGGGAGGTTGAAATAAAGACTCCTATGGACATTCTGCTATACCCATAGATCAGTGCCTACTAGGCCATCATCAGAAAGGCTTCCTCCTACAGCACATGAGAATTAACATAGAAACCCACTTCTGTACAATGTCCAGTCAGTGAGAGACTTTGGGGAACTCAGTCCTGAATGTTATGTCTTCATCAAATCTCTCCCTTCGGAGCTCAGGGGAGGCAGAAATATTGATCGTAAGAGCTAGAGGAGATGATTCCAAGGAAGCAGTGTTTTCCAAGTACAATAGGAATGATACACATATGAAATGACAGAGTCTGTGGCAGCATGCATGAAGCCTGAACAGCCTTAAGCCAGATGGGTTCCCAGTGCTGAAAGGGGGACCTAGACATGCTCCTTCATTCTTAACATGTACACTAACTCTAATTTGGATCTGTTTGCAATGAAAAAATAATAATGGTCTTCAATGGAGTCTCACTGAGTATGTTACAATGCTTAGCAGTATATGGCCAATACAAAATGAATTCAATAGTATTATTGTAAAGTTTTTGTCTTAGATTGCTGTGTTGGAGCATTTTTGTTTTGCTGATCTTTGGCTTGATCTTTCGTTTTTATATTTTTGTGAATATGCCTTTGAAATTATTTTTTTCTGATTTGCTTGGACTTCTGTTTGCTTGTTTTCTAAAGAGAAAGAGAGAAGAAGCATTAGAGTGGGCAAATAGGAAGACAGAAAGAGTCTCTAACGGTTGGGAGCTGGGAAATAGTTCATTCAGTCCAACTAATGTTAGCGCCAAGAACCATGGTTATAAGCACATTCTTTGGATATATTTTGGCATCTTACTATTGAAAACACAAAGTTACAACCACTATATATTTCATTATTTACAAATACACAAGAGAATCATGGCATATATTTTTACACAATAATTATCTGTGTCTTCCTTTATTTTTAAACACCAGGGATGAAACTCTGGGACTGCCTCATTCAAGGACAGTGCTCTGTCACTGTGTTACATCTCTATTCCTTCTGTAGAACTTTCTAGAAATGTAAATGCATGATGGAAACATTCATGTAACAGTCCTTCATTATGTTTCAGAGCAATGTACCTCTAAGCTATCCTCGTGATCAAGTCTTGGCCTTTTGTATAACCAGGCTAAAATGTAGTGAGGAAGAGCACTTGTCTTCTAAGAATGTGCAAGGTGCTACATTCTATTCCCAGCAAAGCAGAATGGAAGAAAAACCTTGTTCAATATTTAGTGTTATGGTATAAGGTAGTATTTCTGATTAAATAAAGATCTTAACTATGATAAGTAGGTGATGGTGATTAAGTAAGCATGGAT